TTTTACTCCCCTGTGCAAAGCTAAATGAACCGCATGGGAATTGAACCTATAACCTTGGCCTCATTAATTTACCTTCTGTACAATCGCCTTTTGGAAATTTATGTTCTACTGTAATGAGATTAGGAGTGCGATTTCATTCATTCAATAAATAGTAGCAATCCTCCACTAATGGCAACAGGGCGCACAGAAATGCACAGGACAAGGTTTTTGCCCCTGAGGGATTTAGGATAAGTGCGCAGGTCACTAATGTGAGGCCCAGACTGGTGCCTGCTGAAAGGGGGGGTGGGTAGCACAGTGCTGGGGTGCATCGGGGGCGGGAGAGTGGTGCTTGCAGCTGGGAGAACGCTGGGTCTCCTAAAGGATGGATGTGCTGTGGGGACTGTGAGCAGGGGTGAGGAAGCACGGCTGTGTCAGTGCCGGTATCTGCACCAGCAGGGATGTCAGTGTCACATGGCCCGCACGAGGCTGGGCATGTGAGAGGACCTGCATGGGAAGGTTGAGGGGGAGAGGACTGAGCTGCCCCACCGAGGTCATCGTTCACGGGGGTATTGGTGGGACAACAGTCAGAGTAATGCAGTCAGAGCTCCTAAACAGGAAAAGTATTTGTCAGCCACTGTAGAAGGAATTGGGAGGAGAGGCTGGTGACCGGGAGGAAGCCTGAGAAAGTGAGTGACCCGGGCCTGAATCCCTGTGCACAGTGGCCGGTGAGGCGGAACAGCAGACCTGGTAACTGTTAGATTTGTCAGTTAGGAAGGAGTCCAGGGTTTGACCCTGGGAGGCTCTCAGATGGCAGTACCCTTCCAAAAGCGTGCAGAACACAGAGGCAGAGATGTTGTTCTATAAAGGAAGTGAAAACAGGCCGTTGGACATGGGGGGAGTGGTCGGAGCCAGATGGGAAGATTTGGGAACTCATTCATCAAGAGAGCTGTTTGAGCCGGCAGAGTGAATGAGATCATTAAGGGATAAAGTACAGAAATAAGAAAAAAGATGGCCAAGGGTCGAGTTCTGAAGAAAAGCTACATTGATGATCTAGAAACTGAGAAAGGAGCCTGAAAAATAGAGGGGGCGTATTAAGGAGAACGGGCTGAGTCCTGTGTTACAGAAAGCCAGGAGGCAGAGGGCTGCTGAGAGGCGTGTACAGGCAGATTTGCGCGTGTCATTGAAAGATGGTTGTGAGCAAGAGGGGCAAAGAATTCAGGTTTGCTTTAGTTTTATAATGAAACATAAATTTTGTAATTTGGATTTCACAGTGCATCCTTTTTATGCTAGACTGTCTCTTCAGCTTTTCTTAGTTTGGTCCCACTCCATACTTGTCATTCTCAAGACTGTTGAAAACAAATCTCATCCCTTTATATAAGGACTGCGGTAGGACTTTAGACTTGATGATGGGATGGGTTTTATGGCGTTGGTTGTGACATTGCCAGTTATTCAAAACCAGGCATTCATTCAAGTGCTGACTGGGGACCTGCTCTGCACCAGGTGCTAGTCCAGCCCGTGGGCACACGATCATAAATAGCGGAGGGAGATTCTGGCTCCTATAGAGTTTACTTTCTTGTATGGATGAGAACGACAACGAACAGAGCACAGAGGTAAAGTGGACAACATATCAGATGGTACTGTGTCGTTCCAAGAGGAAAAATAAAGCAGAAAGGGGATATAGGGTCCTGAGGAAAGGTATTTTCAGTAGCGTAGTCAGAGAGGTGTCATTTGGATAAAGCCTTGAAGGAGGTGAGGGAGGAGATATCTAATCTGTAGATATCTAGGTAAGAGGGGAGAACAGGTGCAAAAGGTCCTGAGGTAGGAGCATTCCTGGTGGTTTTGGGGACCACTGAGGAGGTCAGTATTGCTGAGGTGGTATAGGCAAGCAAGAGAGGTTAGAGAAGTCTGGGAGGCAAGATTTGGCCCTGTGGCAACATGGATAATTGACTTTTCCTTTGAGTGTGAGGGAAAGCCCCTGGATAGTTTTGAGCAAAGGAGCAAATAAAGCTCATCCTGGCTACAGGGGAAGGAAGGGGGGACAAGGAGAAACAGGAAGATCACCTAGGAGGCTTTTGCAAATCCCCAGGAGGAGATGTTGATAGCTTAGGCTTAGTGGCATCAGAGGAGGTGTGGGAAGTGAGCAGAATCTGGATGTATTCTGAAGGCAGAGTGAATAGAATTTAGCATATTGGATGTATGAAGAGAGAGAGAGAGTAAAAAGAGAGATGAGTCCAAGTTGCTGTATTAGTTTTCTAGGACCGTGGTAACAAAGTACCACAAACCCAGTGGCTTAAACAACAGAAATGTACTGTCTCACCGTTCTGAGGACCGAGGACCGTAAGTCCAAGATCAACGTGCCGTGAGGATTCTTTCCTTCTGAAGGCTGTCAGGGAGAATCTGTCCCACTCTTGTCTCTAGCTTCTGCTGGCTTTCTGACAATCTTTGATGTGAATTGGCTCGTGAAAGTATCACTGCCATTACCTTCGCATGACATTCTCCCTGTGTGTATGTGTCCTCATTTCCACTTTTTAAGAAGGACGCCAGTCATGTTGAATTAGGAGCCCACCCTACTCCAGAATGCTCTCACCTTAACTGATGTATCTTCTATGACCCTATTCCCAAAAGAGATCCCACTTGGAGGTTCTAGGGGCTAGGACTTCAACATTGGAATTTTGGAAAGGACATGGCACAGCCCATTACAGTTGCCATTAACCAAGATGACAAAGTCTGTCTGTAGGAGGAGCTGGTTTGGAGGCAGGGAGATTCAGCAAAGTTATGGACGTGTTAAGTTTGAGGTGCACCTCAGACCCTCAAGTGAGTGTGTCAGGTAGGTGGATAAATGGGACAGAAATTCCAGGAGTTGTCTGGGCTCGAGATAAACATGTGGAAGTCCTGGGCATATCGATGATATTAAAGCCAAGAAACTAGACAAGATCATAGAGTGAGTGAGTTTGGCAAGAGGAGGAGGGTTACAAAAACTGAAGTTAAGAGGTGATTAAGTTTGGGGACCAAGGCTCCCCAAAAATGCGAACTACAAGTCCTACCTATGCTTGTAGTTGTGAAAATGCAGTCACATGTTAGCAATGTTTGTAAGTTGCGTTCTAATTGTTTACAAGGTTGCGATATTTCCCTGTGAGAAATAAGAGAGTAGGACAGATCATGGGTTGAGTTTCACTGATATGCTGAAGAAGTTACTGGTGCTGAAATGGAATGTTTTGAATGCCATAAAGAAGTCAAAGGACACTAATAAAAATAGTAAAGAGCACTTTTCTCGGAAGGAGAAACAACTTTGGAGAACATTGTTGCAGTCCTTGATTTAAGAAGTCATTTTCTAGAAAGTCCGTCATGCTGCAGTGCTCCGGCAGCTGGATACTTGGTTCCTTCTTCTGTGTTTTTTTTTTTTTTTTTTTTTTTTCCAGAGAGCATAGTGAAAACATCTTTAAAAAAATCCCCAGGACAGAATTAATCATGTTTTAGTTAATTTGGAAAACAGAGGAAGCATCACCGTGGCATCACCATTCTAGTCTCCTCATGTGTTTTCTTTACGTCTTTTCCCCACATTCCTGCCGTTTCACATGGAGACAGATGTCGTGACAGCAAAGTAGTGGTGGTGACACACGACAAGTCTACTCAGAGTCTTCTGAACACGTCCAGCTGGCATTGCCCTGAGCCACTGCACCTTCTGCTTCCCCTGTACCTTTCTTCATCCTGCTCTCATCCTGTTGTGCTTCCAAAATCACTTCAGTGGCCACCTTCCTACTGGCATATTCCCACCCTTCCTAGTGTGTACCACCATATTGCCCTGCACCGTAGCACTTGCTGTAATCGTTCAGGTCCCCACTCACTGAAGGACAGAGATTGGGTTTGGATATTTATTTCCTCAGTATCTTGCACAGGTGTGGGTACATATTCAATAGGTGCATGCAGACCACAAATGAATAACGTCACTTTCTTTGCCTGCTCAGAATATCTGTTACTGAGCTCTGATTCCTTATTAGAATGTAAAACATTTGTGTTTAAACTAGCACAGTAATATAGAATATATCACTGTGTATATGACAAGATTCCCCTTTAAAAGTATTCATAGAGGGGCGCCTGCATGGCTCAGTCAGTTAAATGTCCTGCTTCAGGTTAGGTCACGATGTCATGGTTCGTGAGTTCAAGCCCCACATTGGGCTCTGTGCTGACAGCTCGGAGCCTGGAGCCTAGAGCCTGCTTCTGATTCTCTGTCTCCCTCTCTCCCTGCCCCTCTCCTGTTTACACTCTGTCTCTTTCTCTTTCAGAAATAAATAAACAATAAAGATTTTTTAAAGTATTCCTAGAGATTTTTGCTTGAAGGGTTAAATTTGTCCCTAAAAGCTGATGCTCAGAACCCTTCAGTTTCTTACCAGAAAGAGACCTGAGATATTTATTATATATGGCTTTATATATGGAATTTGACTGTGTCCCTTCAAATTAGGAAGCAAAATGAAGTGATTTGAACATAACCTATATAAGGTAACATGGAAAAATGCAGAAGCTTGGAAGGGTAAAATTGCTGGCAGTAAAGGCAAGAATTTTTACATTTTGATAAGTGGATTGTTTTGGAAATGGGAGAGTTTTTTATCTGGCATAATCGAGATGTATAATATGAGACTAGGTGAAGAGAGTCAAGAAGTATTCTAATAGCTCTTTGATGCCAAAAATGGTTCCATGATGACGCAGCTCAAGATTCTTCTCCTACCTACCCACCTAGAATACAAATAATTTTTTTGGTCAACTTTCTCAAAAATGGGGGGGAGGGGGAGTATTTATGTGATGATTGTTTCTTGGTATTGAGAAAATGCTTTGCTACATAGAATTCTGGATAGCATTACTCCACTGATAGGGTTTTACCTTCATTTTCTTGGTCACATATGTGATGGGTAAATACTGAATTCATTTATGGAACCATGAGTATTGACAAAGTGTGAGCTAAACTGTACAGCATATCAAATTTGCTATTACAGCATATTTATTTAAATCTCAATTTCTTTCCCCAGCTCTACTTTACGAAGTGTTTCTACTGGATCTTCAAGACCTTCCAAAATTTGTTTGGTGTGTGGGGATGAGGCTTCAGGATGTCATTATGGGGTAGTTACCTGTGGCAGCTGCAAAGTGTTCTTCAAAAGAGCAGTGGAAGGTAAATGTTCATGTGGGTGTTCCTTTTACACGTTTTCTTTCCTGGTGCAGAGTTTACTTGCATAGTTAACTCTAAATCATGACTGGGAAGTAGATCAAAAATACTTTGATGCAATCTGCCAGTGATAAACAGTAATAATGTCTTATCTAAAATCCTCCTGGAGATTTCCACCGAGCACTGTTGAATGGGCAGAACTTGAAATTGGAAATTGAGATCCGTTGGAAAGAATTTTTTTGTTTTTATCGGTCTTTGTTTTTCAGTGAGACTTAGAAAAATCATTTTACATAAACTTAATTTGCATGATGTGCAAGAGCATTTGTACTAGGCACACATAGAATGTGTCATGTCTTTTCTGTGCCTCTGTATAAATATATGTGTTGGTGGCAAATTGAAATTTTAATATCAAGATTGTGTCTGTGACTTAAGTTGTGTTCCATACAGAATAATTTCATTGAACAGTTGCTTCAGGTTCCAGGGCCCTGCTTCAGTCCTACCGTTATTCTAACTGAAGGTTTACAAACTAGTACATTAAATTAAACATTTGACTGAGATTCTATATGTATATTTAGGCTAGCTTTTTCTTTTGTACTTCCTAAGGAGAAGTAGTCTTTTAGATTGTTTTTGCTTTCCTCCATCCTCACTTATAAGCAATTAATTAACATCAGACTCAGATGGTTTTATTAATGTTGACTATATGACTGGCTGAAGTGTAGAATTTTTGCTCTTAGAAACAGAATTATTGTATCCTTGATGCTTATTTTACCAAGGAGCTCAACACTAAGACTCTTGTAGGTTTATTTCTCAGGGCAGTTTTCTGGGGGATCAATCAGTGCTTCAGAGACCTAAGCGTAAAGCACTTGAATGTTTCATCCTTGTTTTGCTGGTGACCATGAGGAAGCTGGTGTCCTCAGTTCTGAGTGAAAAAGCTGACCAAGTCATTATTTCTGTGCTTCTGGGATTGGTTTAGCGTTATTTAATTAATATTACATGATTTTACATTATTTACACTATTAATTATTTAATAGCCCTGAAACCCAGCATTGAATTGGTAATAGGAGTTCTGTATTTCTTTCTCAGAATATGGGCTCCTGGTTACAGGTGACAGAAAATTCAACACAAACTGGCATAAGAACCAGTGGAAATTTATTGGTGCACATAACCGTAAAGCCCTAGCATAAGCGTGACTTCAAACAAGCCATGGTCATAAACCAAGGTGGTTAGAACTCAATCTCCTTCTCTCTAGTGTTTGAGTTTGCTCTGGCTCTGTTCTCATCCAGGTTCTCTCATGGTGATGAGATAGCCACCAGGACCTCATTAAAAAGAGGTTCTCTGTTCCTAGAAGTTCTTATAGAAGCCCCTAGGTAAATCTCCTTGGACTGCACTTGGCTCCCATGTTCCCTTCCGAACCAATCACAGTGACCTAGGAATGCAGTGATCTGACAGGCTAGTTCTGGCTGGAGTCAGCCAATCTAAACTACCTAGATTAACAGTGGGGAAGAGCATTTCCCATAGGAAAAAAATAATTCTGTTACCAGGAGACTGATTTCTGGAAAATAAATTTGTGCAATACTGAGATTAATTCATTATTTTAAGACTTTCCTCACCCACCAACCCCCTCTTTCTATCTTTATATGATTGGCTCAGTAGAAGATAAATAAGTAAAATTACCTCTGGTACCTTCCTAATGCCACTTTGTACCTTCCAATATAAGGACTCCCCTCTTAGGCTCACTAATTAGTGAAAAAAGTAAGCCAATATGTAACAATAAAGCAGTATAGAGGAGGGAATTTGGAGTAGGACCCTCTGTGGTCCCCTGCCTGTGGCTCAGCCTTCGTATCAGAACCCAACTTGTATCTATTTTACGGAACCTGCCCTTCTCTGCTTCTGAAGCAAATAGTTTCCCCAGTGTTTTTGCTTAGTTTTGTTGTTTTAAGTAGTTTCTTGGAAGTAGCTGAGGAAAGAATCATTTTTGTAACTGAGGTATAAATAAGTATGGAAAAGCCTTGATGTCTAGACATCTTTTTCTTCCATTGGAAAGCTGATCAATAATAATGAAACTTGATAAGTGCCTTTTAAGACTCTTATTAATATAGGCTTAGTCCCTATTTTGGGGGGAATTATGATTTTAGAACTCATCTGAGTGAAACAAGGCCATAAATTTTGAAAATAAACTTCATGAGAGTGAGAACTTACTTTTTTTTTATTTTGTATTTGTTTTTCTTTACTCTTTTATGTGTGTATGGGAGAGGATGAGAAATTGGACTGTGTATCAGAACTTTTTGATTTAATAAAAAAGAAATTATTTTTATAACACTTTATATAATTTGAAGTACTAGCTTCATAAAATTATAATCTATAGGTGTATTTTTCTTCCCTTTTAATAGATGAAGACAGTTGGGATCAGACCCAGTTGACTAATCTATTCAGAATCATTAGGCCAAACTTAGACCCCTATTTAAGTCTTAGGACTCCATACCTAGAGCCAACCAAACATCTCACAACTCCAAATCTCTCAGTCTGTTTCTTTCATTTTCTATAATTCTCAAGTTCATGGAAATTCTACCCTATAAGTCATTTTTTCATGCTTACTTGGTGATCAGGAAGGGTATGATGTAAGCATTGAAAAGACATAATTTGGCATCCTCAGTGTGTGTGCATATGCATATATACATACATACATACATATAGATGGGTTCATGTTTTAATATTTGAATATAGTATATTTATAATACATATAAATATATAAGTATATAATATATATGTAATATTTATGGTGGGTGTGTGTGTGTGTATGTATACATATATCGGGTTTTCCCTGATAACCTTAAGTTCCTCCTTAGAGTATGAAAGTAGGGAATTCCAAAAAGCAGTAAATAGAGGGAGCTGGGACAAGGGGAGTCAGGTAAGCTGAAAAGAGCTAACCACACCAAACACAGAACTAGAAGCAACCACTAGAGCGGAGACAGGAGGAAAGACAGAACAGTCTGAGCACTGAGTTTACTGGTTTAGGGCTTTAGGCTCTATAGCACTGCACTCTAAAGCTTGGTATAATAGTGTAGTAACAGTGCAAGGAGACTGCAGATCATTTGTTAAAAGTGTAAATTATGGAGGTGCCTGGGTGGCTCAGTTGGTTAAGCACCTGACTCTTGATCTCAGCTCAGGCCATCTCATGGTTCATGAGACTGAGTCCCACATTGGGCTCTCCACTGACTGTGCAGAGCCTGCTTATGATTCTCTCTCTCTCTCTCTCTCTCTCTCTCTCTCTCCCCTTNTCTCTCTCTCTCTCTCTCTCTCTCTCTCTCTCTCTCTCTCTCTCTCTCTCCCCTTCTCTCTCTGCCCATCCATGTACTCTCTCAAAATAGATAAATTTTAAAAAGCATTTAATAAAAGATGTAAATTATGTTCTTTGTGTTCTGTTTAGTGGGACATATATATTGCTTATTTTTCTTCATCTTAAACATTTAATATAAAAATCCTTACAAGTCTTATCCAGCAGAGCTTAATTGCCAATGTCAGTTAAGAGCCATATTATTGTACATTACAAATGGAAGTTTATCATTTTGTTTTTAAATTTGAATTGCTTGTTTCCCTTAAAGGTTTGTCAAGACCTTTCTATCTTAAAAAGAAAAAGAATAAGCATTCATATATTTATATTTTTTAAGTAGGGTTCTCCCTTGGTGGAAACTGGACTGGCTTTAGGGTCAGAAGATTTAGTTTTCCTTTCTGGCTCTGCCACTCACCAGGTGTGAGAGTAAGACAAATTATTTAATTTGCCTGGGCCTCAGTTTCTTTATATCTAAATAGGAAAAGCAGTATTGCCCTACTTATTGCTAAGAAAAATAAAATGGAAACAAAATGTTTTTGCAGACTTTATAAATCATGAAGTGGCATCAAAATATTAGATTTATTATTCTCTAGGATCAAATGTTACAGTTCTCTGGTTACTGTCTTTACAGAGAGATCATGTAAGGGGTACATTAATGTGATACTGTTAGGTTTTTGTTTTCTCTTCATGAGGTTTTTATTTCTCCTGTAATACATTATTTCCTTCATAGAGCTCCCTGAGAGGTTGAAAGATTGTTCTAGACTAGCAGTTTTCAAAGTTCTCAAAGGGCATGTGGGAGAAGTAGATCACAGAGGGTCTGTCAGAATTTTCTGGAGACGCTGCCCCACATGTTCCACCATGGCCTAGACTGTTGCTATTTGCCCCATAACCGACCCTCTGTCACTCATGTGGACACTTTCACCTTTGGAAGTTTCAGAGTAAAGAAAATATTAAGAGCCACCAACCAATTGGACCTTTGGCCCCTCTGTGAGATGTTTTCAGGGCAGGATAGAGTCTTCTCTCCAGAGCAGAGCATGACTATAGATATAGAGTAGCCACCAAATAAATGTTTGAGTGTACACATGAATGTTTACATGTGGCATGAGAGCAATTGAGGTTAAATGACTTTCCTCCAAGTCAGGAAATTAGCAGTGAAACTGGCCCAAGAGTTGGTGCAGACTTTTGACCTTCTAATCTGCAACTTCTAATTCTAGTCTGAGTTTTTACTATCTCCGTCTCTTTCTAACATAAATTGCCATTAGTTTCATCTCACGTGTATTTTATTTTGTGATCCCTCAGTGAACAGAGGCGACTACCTTCACTACACTATTTTATAACCTAATTTCTTTTTTGGATACTCAGAATATAAGCAGTGTCAGGAAGACAGAGCTACCACAAATCACTGAAGAGTTACAAGGCTGTGAAAGAAGAGAGTTCATTATTATGTAACGTCAACTGGATTTATATTTTTGTAAGCAGACCTGTTAGGCTAAAGAGTCCATATCTTGGTAAGGTCAGCCAAATCATGTGATGTCCATTTCCATACTTTCCTTTTAAGTAAGAGACTTAGAAATCTGTTCACTGAAATGAAATCACTTTAAGAGATACAATTGCAGATTAATCAAAGGATTCCTCAAATAGGCAAAATTTTAAGGTTAACTAAGCCTGTGAACAT